TTGATGTTCCCTTCTACTGATAAAAGGGCCGACAGACCATGGTGGATAGGAAAACCGAGAACCCCATTAACTGGGGAGCTGAGGTGGTTTTCAGAGCTCAGGCGACGTTTTTTGTTACTTGTGTCGCTACTGGAGATCGACGGTACGACAACTGCGAAATGAAGAGGGGAGGGTTCGTTGTTCAACACCGCGACATTCTGGCCATTCAACATAACGCCATCCATCGACTCTGTGCTATTCCTCGCATTCAAAGCTATTTCCACGCTCGCACTTGTTCTCAACCGTGGCCTCGGACGCGTGAACTGCTGGAGCAAATTGAACCCTTCATCTTGAAATGAGGTCAGGATTTCCTAATTTGGTTAGTGTGGATGAGAGATAAACAAGCAGTAACAGTGATGAATGGCAAGAAAAGCGAGAGAGGCATAAAGCAGAACATCGATGGATGTCAGTGGTGCAGAGAGAGCAAGATCTCCTCATAAAGCCTGATTTTGTTGAAAGACCAGGCCGCATGAGAGGCATGGGCTCACTGGATGAGGGCGACGGGGGGTTATCAAGTGATTCAAGTCAAACCACGTTTGCCACTGAATCCCACAGATAACTAACAAAAAAAAGTAATGCAGTTAGTTGACAAGGGTAAACTCACAGGTTTAACATCACGATCAAGTTCATCTTCTGAAGGGGAATCTTTTGTAAGATCAATGACCATTTTATCTTAGGGATAGATGCTTGAGTTGAAATGGTAAAGTCAAAGTTAAAATTTTAAATAACATTGTAAGCTTTGATGGTTATTGTAGTCATTCTTACAACTACTTTATGAACATAAAATAATGTTTGAATACTCATATGTTTAAACAGTTTAACTATATTTATAATTTTGCACTATTTTAATTCTCTCAATCGTTTTAAAAATATAAGCCATTATATATATTTTTTATCATTCTTTTATATATGAAATTTATTATGGAATTGAGTAAGTATAAAGCTTTTAATATTTTTTCATTTATCTGAAAATTAAAACTTGTATCAATACAGTCTTTATCAGATCATTGAAGCTGAAATTTTTAATAAATTTCATCACTGAAGAAATTAATAAAAAATAGAGATAAATTATTATATAAAAAATCTTTTTTTTTTTAATTTTAAAAAAGTAATATAAAATATTCAATTTAACTTACTATATACAAATTATTTGAGAAACTTGGATA